TCTCTTGAGGTGCAGGTAGAAGAGCGGTTGTTCTTTTCCAGTACCCAGACCTAATGTTTTAGGCTGTAAGGCAAGTATACCAGCCAGAGCTGATAAGAAACAGGAATAAAACTGTTGGGTAAGAAGATTTGCTCTTTTCTGGAAATAAGGTCTTTTCACTGAGATTTCTTGTTATTGCAAAGCCACCACCTGAATTTTCCTTTGAGTGTCTGTCTACAGTTATTAAATAGGTTTTAGGGCAGTCTGGGTATGGAAGCCAGAATAGGATGTTCCAAATTATTTTCTTCAGATACCAAGTTTCCAATCGTTTCCTGGCAGTGGGATTCAACTACAGAGATACTTTGTCACGAGCAGGAAATGCTGTTACCAGAGCAGTGTGGGGGAAATTAAGTTCCAATGTCTAGTCTCGTTTGTGGACAAATGGGACTCCAGAAAATAAAGTAGCAGAAAAAGTGTCTTGTCCAAGAGCTGAAAAAAGTTCTTTCAAGATGTTAATCACTTCAAGAGAAAAGAAAAAGTCCTCTTTATGCATGTCTAAAATAAAATTTCACTAATCTGTTTCTGTTGTTACAGTTTATCCTGACATTTGCACCATTAGTTTAGTAGCTGTGGGGGATATGAATAAATATGTGGACAAGCTGCTTTTCTGGGAAGATGTATATGGCTTTGACATGTCTTGCATGAAGAAGGCTGTAATTCCAGAAGCTGTTGTGGAGGTGCTGGATCCGAACACACTGATATCTACAGCCGTTGTCATTAAGGTAGCGTACTAGAGCCGCCTTAAATTTTTGGCATCTTCGGAATTATACAAATGCAATAATGTTCCTGGTGTTAAGACTGTAAGACTTCTAGGAAAAAAAAAAAGGCAATTAATACAAGTTTGAGCTCTTAATAAAGTAATTTTCCCATGTTTAGATTGGTCTGTTCTACATTTTCTTCTATCCAAACCCACATTTACTTGCATTTTAGTGAGTTACAAGTTGCATAACTGAAATTGAAGCTATACCCCAAAAAAATAGAAAATAGAGTCTTTTCTTCTATTGTCCTTCCCTCTTCACCTCGGTCAGTGTACTGAGTTGCAGGGGGGCTTTCTTATCCATTTCTGTGTCAAGCTAGCTGGCTTTAAAGATCTTTCATTGGAAGAACATTCACTATCACCACTCATAGCTTCATCCAGCAGAATGACCACGTCTGAAAAGGCAACAATATTTTCCGTAGTACTCACTGAATTAATTTTATGCTTACTTTTCTGTGTTGTCTTTTTAAATGTCAGCTTTGTGATGAGAACTAGCAGCAAAGTTGGTAGTGATTCATATGAGAGAATACCTACATGACGAGATATAATTCCAGAACACTGACTAGTTTGAAATTCCGACGAACTTTGTGTAGACTAATAACTTGAACAGTTCAGATCAAATTGAGAGAAAGACTATTATAAACCAAGATAGTTTTTTGTCACAATGGTATTGTAACTATTGTTCATATGGTTACTTTTCTAGTGTAAAATGCTTAAGGCAGTAACGTTACTGCCCATCAGTGGGAATTGCCTGTTTAGTAAATAGGTAATCTCTATTTAAATGCATTCCTATCTTATTTTGTATATATAAGAAAATGGGTTTACATAATTCATCCCTGAATTTGACACCCTTGTCGAGGGTAGTTCCAGGCTCTTCCAGCATAGAAACTACTTGCTGTGGTCAGTTGTCATCCTGCCCACAAAAGCAGTGACAGGTGAAGTGCTATTTTGTTGTAACTATATCCTGATGCCAGTTATTGCTTAAGCTTTTCTTGTTTATATTTTTATTGCAGAGAAGATTAAAAAGTATTAAGCTTTTTTTAAATCAGGTATTCCGATGTAAGAAGAGCTGAGAATGGTATGTCTGTAACTTGAGTAACTACTTTGGCTTTCTTGTGCATCTCTACATCCTTTTTGTTTTCCTTTTTTTGTTTACTTCAGGATTCTTTATTCATAGATAAAGTTGCCATTACAGATGTGTCTTACATTTTATCCTCTGAGCTTGTTGACTAGACTCCTTCTAGAATCAGTGAAATAAAATTCCTAAGGATGCTGACTTGAGGCTTGCAAGTGTCTGTTTTACTTGAGTGTAAGGAGAGAGGAGAGTGATCAGCTCAGTTGTGGAAATACACTTTGTAGACCTGTCATTATAGTGACACCCTTAGTGAATAAGCATGTTCTGATTCAAGTGGAAGTGTAGTTGAATACTTCTTGTCAATAGGTCAAGTTTGAGATACAAAAAAATGAAGAACACATCATGCGCTCTAAATTAG